AGAGCATTAAAAGGAAAAGGAAGAATTACACATTTTTTATCTTTTTCTGACATTAATGAAATGGAATGGAATCAGAAATAGCAGCTTCATATTCTAGTAGGAGCATTAAAAGGAAAAGGCAGAATTACACATTTTTTATATCTCTTTCTGACATTTAAGAAATGGAATCAGAAATAACAGCTTCATATTCTAGTTAGAGCATTAAAAGGAAAAGGAAGAATTACACATTTTTTATCTTTTTCTGACATTAATGAAATGGAATGGAATCAGAAATAGCAGCTTCATATTCTAGTAGGAGCATTAAAAGGAAAAGGCAGAATTACACATTTTTTATATCTCTTTCTGACATTTAAGAAATGGAATCAGAAATAACAGCTTCATATTCTAGTAAGAGCATTAAAAGGAAAAGGAAGAATTACACATTTTTTATCTTTTTCTGACATTAATGAAATGGAATGGAATCAGAAATAGCAGCTTCATATTCTAGTAGGAGCATTAAAAGGAAAAGGCAGAATTACACATTTTTTATATCTCTTTCTGACATTTAAGAAATGGAATCAGAAATAACAGCTTCATATTCTAGTAAGAGCATTAAAAGGAAAAGGAAGAATTACACATTTTTTATCTTTTTCTGACATTAATGAAATGGAATGGAATCAGAAATAGCAGCTTCATATTCTAGTAGGAGCATTAAAAGGAAAAGGCAGAATTACACATTTTTTATATCTCTTTCTGACATTTAAGAAATGGAAGCAGAAATAGCAGCTTCATATTCTAGTTAGAGCATTAAAAGGAAAAGGAAGAATTACACATTTTTTATCTCTTTCTGACATTTAAGAAATGGAAGCAGAAATAACAGCTCCATATTATAATAGAAGCACTAAAAGGAAACGGAAGAATTGCACATAGTTTATCTCTTTCTGACATTTGAGAAGTAGAAGCAGAAATAACAGCTTCATATTCTAGTAGGAGCATTAAAAGGAAAAGGAAGAATTACACATTGTTTATCTCTCTCTCTGGCATTTAAGAAGTGTATGCAGAAATAAGAGCTTCATATTCTACAGATAAAGCGATTTTGAAAAACATGAGATTTTAAAAAAACTCCATGAAATCCGGCCGTGAATTTAATAAACAAGGTCTCTTTTTTTGTGTAAAAAGCTCATATTCGTCATTGCAAAGAATTTCCAGCAAAATTAGTTCATTTACTGTTGATTTATAATAATCAGTTTTCTTCTTTACGAGAAAAAAAGCTCTCTGCTTGTAATTGTAAGGAACTTTAACAAAATTAACTATACAAAAGAACTAGTTAACTTTTACATAAGAACTATCGCGTAAGCATCATAGTTTGTGTAAGCATAAATTTGTCATATTTACTTTAAAGTAGCTATTGTATCTCATCTTGTGTATCGTCAGAAGTAGTAGGAACATTAAAAGGAAAAATAACACATTCTTTACGTCTTTCTGACATTTAAGAAGTGGAAGCAGAAATAACAGCTTCTTATTCTACAGATAAAGCGATTTTGAAAAATGAGAACTTTTAAGAAAATTTCATAAAATTTGGAGAGTAAGCTAAGAATTTATAAAGCCAGCTAACTTTTTCAAAGAATTTCCCGCAAAATTAGCTCATTTACTGTTAATTTATAATAATCAGTTTTCTTCTTTTAGAGAAAAAACTGCTTGTAATTTTAAGGAACTTTAACAAACTTCGAAAAAAATGACTGTTAGTTCATACGGTTATTATATGAAGCTTCAAAATTCAACTCAAGGATGTAAATAACACCCTTTTTCACGGTGGTTGAAGCCTCAGACTACGGATATACAATTATCGGGTTCGAACCCGGCCTTCGCCAAAGACATATCTCTTGCATTCTTTCTACATTTGTGAACACGCAAAACTTTCACACCTCGGCAGATGACACCACCACACTGTTTCGCCCCTCTTTACCGTTCGCCTTGATTTCTCAAACAAGTCACTCCAGTCTCAAACAAAGACAAAGACCAAACTGATTTTAACTTTTACGAACAATTAATATATTTTAAGAGAGTTAATATACACCGAAGAGCCATTACATTATGACCACCCTCCATCTATAACAATGGGCTCGCCCAGGTTTTGATGGTTTCTCACCCAGGAACAATGTTTTCATAGGGCACATTAGGACCCATAATCCTCATAGAACAATCCCTGAAGTTTGTAAGCTACTTGAACATAGTTGCAGACCAGGTTCACCCATTCATGGCAACAGTTTTTCCTGCGGGGGATGGTGTTTACCAACAGGATAATGCACCATATCATAAGAGTCGAATCGTCGAGGAACATTCCAGTGACTTTCAAGTCACGTCTTGGTCCCCAAATTCACCTGACCTTAATCCAATAGAGCATTTAATTGCTCTGGACATTTGCCTTGATTTTAATATCATTAGACTTGAACTTTTCACCTATTTTTAATGAAAACACTTTTACAGCTGACACCTCTCGACTGATACATTGGAAGCGTCTAATCTCCGTATAAAGATTTCTTTCTTTTCTGAATTTGTTAATTTTGTAAGGAAAAAAAAATCTTTATACGAAATTTAAGTCTCTATAACGAAATTGATAGTTAAATTCATTTCACTATAAAAAGACTCCACTAGTTATAGAGAGAATTCTAACTATATAAATTATAGAGAGACGTAATTATA